ATTATTATCCTTTTAAATAATTACGATTATATTTTAAAGGTTTTGCAGGCACTAAGTACAATAGGAATGAAGAGAATATTGGTGATTCTCCAGCTTCACTGACAAGGAAAAAACAAAATAATATTCATGGCAGTGTGTTGACATTTCAGAACTGGCATTTAATTATTTGCATACCTTAGTATATTAAAGGTACATACACACTTGTATAAATAAATCTGTGTATATAACAATTTTCAGTAGCTCAACTCTACTGACAGCTAGAATAGAGAACTTCACAAAGCCTAGACCTTTTGCAGTTTGGAGAACAAAATAAATCACAGTAATCAATGACCCCCTATAACCACATACATTTTGACTGAAGACAGTGATGATGACTCAGTCATCCAGCACGGTGCTGGGCCCAGCCTGAATGCATTTGATGTGGCCAGAGGCCAGTACTCGAAGCTCCTAAAGCACAGCTGAAAGTGTAGGCTTAGATGGAGTTGATACATGGGGATAGGCAGGAGTCTCCAGGGAAATCAGCTCCCCAAGGAGCTGTGGGGTTTCTATGTTGGAAGTGGAGCACGGAGGAAATGAAAGCTCCTGGAAGCATAGTAACAATAATAAATAAAAACAGGCTCCCAGGAGCCTTTAACAGAAAGAACTTGGACTGTGGCAAAAAAATAAATAACAATTTCAAACATCCTGAAAACTCAAATCCACCCTCACCACTAATTAATTAGACACCACTGAGATCTGTAAGTTCTTTAAGCCCTCAACCGTAGCTCCAAACACTAGAGAAGTCACTTTGTCTAGCAGAATTGTGGGCAGGGTGTAATGTAAGAAGAACCAAGCTTCCCAGAGACTCACAGCAACCCAGTCCCATCCAGTCCTATCCCCCCTCTCCCCGCTTTCCTAGAGCTGGTGTTTTTTAAACCCATTCTTTGGAAGCACAGGGTCCCCTAATTGCTGAAGGGGTATTTTGCAAGGGAAGACTGAGTCTCCATGTGTTTGGTGAAATAACTGAATTTTTCCATACTTCAAAATGTATGTGAGGAAATTATTTCCGAATCTTCTTTCTATCTTCTCTTTCTGTGATCATACACTCACTTTCTCCCTTTAGCAGTACTGGCTGCCAACATAACTAAACACTGTGCCAGAAAGTTAACAGCTGAAGTATGGTCACCTATAGGCAACAAACAGATTACATCTGTTACAGTAACCCAGGTAAGGAGACCTGTTAAAACGGGAGAGATAATTTTTATTTCTATAATCCTCATCGCATACCTTCTTTTTAATCTATCTTAAAAGGTTATTTAACACCCTTCAATAGGAAATGTTTGGCCACAAACTGTTTTTCTTTTCTTTGTGCTTTATCAACCATTTGCTTTACATGTGTCATTACAATTTTACCACCAAATTAAGATTTCATGATTTTTCTTAAATACAGGGGTTTGTGACTTTTAAAGAAATTACTGGTGTGGGTTAGAGAAAAGTGGTAATAAGGCTCAAGTTATTTAAACAACATGGGATATATAATTTCATGTTTTTTAAAGCAAAAGATATGAGTCTAAGGATTTTATAGAATAAGCAAGTTATACAAGTGATCTTCCTGCCTTCCAGTAAGCTTTCTGAAGAGCCTATCTGATCACCTGATTCCCTTGCTTATAACTTTGAAGTTCATACTCCTTAGTTGGACCACTTTGGGTTTACAGTGACCTGCCCTCTCACCCTAGACTCATTTCCTACCTCTAACTCCTTTAAAAGCCCATCCCGGCCTTTGTTGCTCCCACTTCCTGTTTAAAGGCCCATCAACACCCTCCACCCAGGAAACAGTTCCCTCCTTTAAAAGTAAATTCAAAAATCACCTTTCCCTTGAGGCTTTACTGTACCTTCCTCTCTGCCCTGTTGTACTCTGTCTACACTTCCACTAGAGTAATGATGATACTGTATTGTAATGATCAGTTTCTGCACATATTCCCTCCTCTAAGCCTTTGCACAATTTTTGACACACAGGAGGCACTCTAAACAGTTGCTGAATAAATGAGTCCTTGTGTGAAATACAGCTTTCCTTTGCTGTCAGCACTTTGAAAGTACTCAGAAAAGGTAAAGGAAAATGACTAAAGTATAGACAGTTTAAATGGAACACAGCAATCACACAAGGCAAAAGTAAGAATAGAGACCAGGACCCCAGCACAACTATACAGCTGCTGTAATTTTGCTTGTTCACAACAGCCCAGAGCAGATGAAAATGTGGGATTCCCTATTCAAATATGACTAAGAATTTCAAAAGATGACAGCAGAGCATTAAAACAAACCAGGGCCCTGTACAGCAAGCAGCATAGCTGCCCCAGTGACAGCAGGAGAGTGGGGAGCCTGGGGAAAAGTTTGTATCACATTTTTAGAGTAGGTTTAAAGTACAGAGGTGGTCAAAAGTAGGTTTACAATGTATTTACAAAAGTAGGTTTACAATTGTATTACTATAATACAATAATAATTCAAGAATAATCTTTGTTTTGCGTACTCATAACTGTAAACCTACTTTTGCCCACCCCATATATAAGATTGTTATTCTAAAATTTATTTTCTCATGCCCACCTTTCATACGACCCCTACAATTGTTTGTTTTAATTTATAGCTGAAGATTCTTTTAAAAAGTAAATTATTTTGTTTCACTGTTTTAGGTAAAATACCACATACTACTCGTTAGTTCCTAAGAAGTAATGCTATAATCCACACCTCACCAATTACCCCTGGAATGAAGAAATGCATCATTGTTATACCTCCATGCAACACCAAAATTTGAGGGGTGGGGGCACTGGCTGGGCTTTCACAAGATTATGTTAACATTATACATCTTTATCACCCTTTCACTGACTTTTAAAATCTAGCATCATTCGTTCCCCATGCAAAAGCATTTCTCAAATCTGATTTTATTTCATAGCAATCTTAGTAAATTAGAAATTGTATATTTAACCCCAAATGAACTTAAATTTCTCAGATATCATCATGATGAAATGCTGTAGGTATACGCTGATAAATGAAAATTTATGAAGTGTTTTTTAAAAAACATTAACTACTTTGAAATAAGGAAGCCGATTTGCACATCTGCAGGTTCTTTAGCAGGGGGGCTGTGCCAGGAGTGCCCCATCCCCAGGCACTTCCAGAGAGGTTCACTAGTTACAGGCCCTTGGCTCTCTCCTGGGGACTACACACCATTAGTGACTGGCACTATTATGTGCAGCAAGAAGTGGGGCTTCCCATGAGGCCAGACCAGTGGACAAATGCCAGGTCCTAAACTTCCTTAGTCAGGGCCCCATCTCATGCTCTCCAATCTTAGCTGTTTCTGGTTTTTGTTGTTGTTGTGGTTGATGATGATGATGTTGTTATTGTTATTTTTATATACCTCAAAGCCAGAGAACCTAGGAATAGAGCGTAAGTCATGAAACAAAACCCTCATATTACTCTCCTAATTTTCACAGGATAAACTTTTTACCACTTAGGACCATCTGAATAGATCTGATTGTGTCAGAATTCTTAAACTAGTGAGCTCAGTTTTTTCATCTGCAAATGGGAGGATTATCACTGACTTCATAGGGACCCTCAAAAATGAGCCAGAGAACACAAGTGGTCATCTTGGTTTCGTTGTCTGGGGCTCATGTGTGACTGAGAAAAAGAAAGCTGCTGAAAGTGGAAGAGAGAACAGCTCTCAGAGCCACTTTGCGGAAAGAAACAATTACAGGTAGAACAGACTACAGCACACCAGCAGAGACTAATTTGTATGAGTTTGTCTGCAGATGACTGCACTTGCAGCTCCTGACTGAGATTCTCACCTAAGAACCAATACGCACAGAGGCCCACTCACTCAGCTAAAACACCTACAACTCAAAGAAAGGCACACACCAAAACAAACCTAACTGCAAAGAAACACAAACAACTAGTCCCTTAGGTCCCTTGCAAGATACACACCAGTGTGCTGAAGGCATGTACAGTGAGAACTGTGCAGACTGAGCAGGGCTGACATAGGGGGACAGTGGGCAGGCAGTGAGACAAGGAGACAGAAAGAACCACAGAAACCCACAAACTGCAAACCCATGATTTGCAGGTATAGTGAGAATATTTTTTCTTAACAAGCTCTGGGGATATTTCAACTTACCCAAATGTCTGTAACTTTGGCCTTAATTACTGCACAGCATTGAATTGGCTCTCAAAAAAATTCCTAGTAAAGACCATTAATAGCATCTAGAGGTAATGTTCAGCAGTGGGAACCAGGGTTGCTCCGCTGCCTTCAACTATGATTTCACGGCTGAGGTAGGAACAGTACAGGATAAATCTACAAGAAAATACTCAATAGCAAGAAATATGCTACCTCTGTGAAGGCACTTCATATATTGGGTTGGCCAAAAAGTTCATTTTTTTTTATTAAGATGGCTCTAGTGGTGCTTAGTTGTCTTTAACTTCATTCCAAACAATTATTAGATTGTATTGTGACAGCTGTCATGATCAGCATGCATGAAAAAAAATCAAAACTGGTGAATTTTTGTGTAGCCATTTTAATACTGAAGATGGAAGAAAATAAGCAACATTTTCAGCATATTGATTTCAAAAGAGGTAAAAATACAACTGAAAGGCAAGAAAAGATTTCTATAATGTATGGAGAAGGTGCTGTGACTGATTGTGTCAAAAGTGGTTTCCAAAGTTTTGTGCTGGAGATTTCTCACTGGACGATGTTCCACTAATTGGGTAGATCAACTGAAGTTGATATGAAATCGAGACATTAAGTGAGAACAATCAACATTATACCACATGGGAGATAGCTGACATAGTTAAAATATTCACATCAATAAAGTTATTGGTGAAAATGAAAAATATGTTTTTTATGGAAAAAAATAAATGGACTTTTTAGCCAACCTAATACTTCCCCAAACCTGCACCCTGTCAATCAACTCCACTACACAGATGCTATGCTTCTAAGTCATGTGGCAACAGGTATCCAAAAAAAAAAGAAAAAGGCAGTTCAGTTTTGTAAGAAACAATATATTTTATTTTTCTGACACCACAGCTCTGGTGAGTGGTTTTGTACCAAATTTAATGTAGGTTACACAGAACGTTTTACGCATGGGAGGAGAGAGGGGAAGAACCACAAAATTAAAAAAAAATCCTGGGTAGCTTTTAGCATCTGTTTCATTCCCACATTCATAAAATTCATCTGGGAATTCCTAATAAAAGGAAAACAAAAAACAAGGTAGGCAGGGTAGGGTATATTGGGGAGGAAAAGATGGAAAAGATCCTCACGCATCCCAAAGACAGGCCTCTCCATCCAGAAGCCAGGATGATGCCCAGCATGGAAGGCAAGTTTTTGTTGTATTTCCCCAAAATAAAACCATGTATTGCAGCTGCCAAAGGGAAAAAGACAGGAGGGAAGTGGGGGTCACCCATGGGGACACGAGAGAAGAAAACACGCTTAAAACCAAGGTGGGGAAGGACAAGGGAGGGAAAACCAGAGAAAAATGTGATGGTGGATTTGCGGACTTGGAGAGGGCGCTAAAGAGCACTTGAACTGAAAAACAAAATGCCCTAGACGTTATTTTTAAAAAGAAACATTTCCCCCTCCCCCCACCCCTTGCTGAACTTAGTTCCTTTTTTTTTTGTGCTTTTCGTTAATACTCTGCTCTGAGGTTGTAGTTTGGTTTTTCTATACACTGGAGTTGAAAGAAAATAGTCCAAAGGTCTGAAGATGGATTCTCCACCTAAAGTAAACAGCCCAGCATTCCTGTTCTCCTCTTGTCCCAAAGACTAAAGTCTCTGCTAAAATTCCTTTTACAATATAGTACAGTACACAAAATATAAAGCCCAAAGCAAAAAACAAACCAAAAAAGAATCCTGGGAGAAGCCAGTCCAAAGGACGTAAACATACAGAGAATGGTGCAACACACGACCGATGGCAATTCTAAAGCACAGCTACAGATTCCCAAAAGTAGGTGCCATCATGGGATACCCAAGTCCACAAAAATAATTTTTAAAAAATAAATCTTAAAAAAAAACACACCTGTTGATTAAATGAATCATTTGTTTTCAGGTAAATCCATACATTCTCGAGTTCCCCCCTCCCCCAAAGGAGCCCTCGGGTCTCTGTTCTCCTATTGCATGATCAACAGTCTCCTGGAACTCCCCCAAAGCAGCCCTCAGGACCTGAAATCTCATCTTGATAAGGATCAGCACATCCAATCTTAGCAGCTTAAAACATCATGTTTCCTGGATTGGCAGGTCCTTGGCTAAATCCACCCATGCCCACATCAGTGGCCATGCCCCGGGGCCTCATCTGTGGGGGGATCATGATGTTCTGTTGGGGTCCCATCATGCCCTGCATGGACATCATCATGCCTGGAGAGCCCACAGGCCCAGGGTGGGTGTAGAGCCCAGCAGGTCCCCGATCCTTGCCAGGAATCATGCCCACGGCAGCAGCTGGATTGCTCATCAGGGTGGGCTGGCCGGGCATTGTAGATTGTGCTGGTGACATCATCCGATGGTGAGGTCCCATCATGCCTTGCTGGAGAAAGGCGGGTGGTCTCATTGGGTTGTGTCCTGACATGGATGGAGCTGTGCCAAGAGGGATGTCCGGAGTTCCCACAGGCCCTGGACCTCCCATGCCAGGTAATGCTAGTCCCATTCTGGGAGCTTGTTCGCCCATCATCCCCTGCATGTGCGAAAACCCAGGACCAGGGCCCTGGGGCTGTTTACGGCCTGGGACTTCACCTCGAGGGAAATATTGCAGTGTCTGGCTAGGCTTCTCAGATGGAATAATGCGAGACAGATCAAATTCAGGGATTCCGGTGGCTCCAGGTCGAATGACCTCCTGCAGATCTGGGTCTGTAAACACTGAAGGCATGCTATTCCCCAGGACAGCAAAGGAGTCAGGACCCCCTGGGCCTCCAGGCTTACAAAGTGCTGCATCTGCTGAACTCTGGGGCAGATTGCTGGGGCGGCCAAGGGGACCTTCCCCTGGGAAACCCATACCTCCTGGGAAGTTGCCCTGCCCCCCACTGGCGCCATTGTGAGGGAAAGGAACCTGCTGTGGAGGAGACTGTACTGGAGGGAAGCCCTGGGGAAAGCCCATTCGTCCTTGAGGTACCATTGGAGGTTCCTGGGACCCATGCCCCATGATAGGATTGTGTGACATCAAGCCTGGCCCCATTGGGACCCCATGAGGAGGTATGTTGGGTCCCATGGCATTCGGAGAGGGCATCTGATTGGAGTGAGAAAGTGGCTGGGTCATTCCCATTGGGCTCAGGGTTGGCATCGGGACCACGGGGTTTGGACCTGAAATTCGAGGATTCTGTGTATTAATGCCCATTCCTAGAAAAATAAAAATATCAAAGGAATCAACTAAAAGCAACTCAGAAGAACTGTAATAAATCAAATTAACAAAAAAATTATTGTGCATAAGATGTGCATGGTACCATACTAGGAATATATACAACACACTACCCCTGCCCTCAATAAGATTATAACACATTTAGGGGCAAACAAAGCAACAGCTCAGCAAGACAATACATTATTGTCTTAAATTATATGACACAGAGTATGTAGAAGACAGCTAGGAAGAAAGTGTCCTGTGTGAAAAGTTACAAATAAATATGCAAATGAGTATATAATATTCTTCAACTAAAGACATTTAATATATCAGCAAACAATTTATCTAAATGATTTAAGTATGGTCCTTTTTTGAGAAGGAGGATTAAGTAGTCCTATAAGTCCAAGAATCAGAAATAACAACAAGGAAACCAAACAGGCCTTCATCAATTGACATTTGGCATCATTTTATAGTGCCTTACACAGAAAGCATTGAAATGTTAAAGAAATGGTAACTTTGAATGAAAAATGAAAGCATGTAGGTTCTACCATATAGTCTGGGACATTTAAATATTTGGTATTTCTATGCAGTTACCACTCAGTATATAAGGATGGTGTTTATGCTGTCTACATAGCATATCTAACTTGATTAATTAGGATTGCTGATAAATAAAGAGAGTTCCTAGCAATCACAATGGCTGAAAAGTCATGGTCTCTCTGCAGATCACCTTCACCACCTCAGATGATTTCCTTTAGTAGTGTTTAGTGAGATTTGGAGGGCAGGAGGTAGAGAGGAGTGAAGGAGGTACAGGGATACAGAATGAAGGAATTTTCTTTCTCTAGTTCTAAGCAAAGTGCTTCTCTAGGAAATAGAGGCTTTCCACTGTCTGAAATCTGTGGTTGCGTGTGGTTTGAGGCTGCCCTTTCAGGAAAATACTTGAGAATTAAAGATATTTCAATCAACATGTTAAAATTAAACTGCTTTCAGTATTGCTCCAGAAGGATCCCCCCCAAAAAACCCAGGTAATAGAAGTATCAGAACTTCTAAAAGGAACTATAAGGAACCTGCTTTCTTATAAACACATATTGAATCAACCTAATAAAAAATTATTGTTATCTTCCTCTAGTCAAGACACTTTAATTCTATTGAAACTTAAATGGTATATTTTTCAACTTGTTGAATCTCCATCTATTGGGTCTATAGTTATCAAGAAAACATGCAATAAGTTTCTCTTGTCTACCACAACCTGTCTTCCTAATTTCTTACCTGGCATGTTATTCATTGATGGCAAGTTGGGAGAACGAGCAGGAGGAGAGTCGTCATCTGAGCTGGCCACAGTCTTGATAGCATCGTGGTATAATGGGGTGGAACTGGGCATTGCAAACTTAGACATTCGAGACATCATAATGGACAGTGGGTTCTGGGACAGGGTTGGCTCTGGAGGCATAGTGTACGGTGTGCTAGAAGACAGACTTCCCGGGATATTCACAGAGGCAGACTGGCTGGCTGTAGGAGGTGGGGGTCCTCCTACAAGCAAAAGAAAACAAAAATGGGCAGGGAATTAGAATCCTCTTGAAGGCTAGTGGTCCTATAGTTATGAACTAGCAAGGTCAGGAATGAGACAGAGGAACAGGACAGTGTTATTAGACCCAGGACACAAATCATCAATCTTCTAGTCAAGCTCAGTACGTGTGCTGAGGGAGACAGTGGTGTGATGTGGAGGTGACAGATCTGCAGAGGGGAAGACAAACACACCAAGAGTGCATTAAACATATTAGTTCAAGCTTGGGAACACATGGTTTACCCACAATTATTTCACTGAAAAGAATGCAGAATAAGTGGATTGCTCCCTTGTGAGCTGCAATTTCGAATTCAACTCGGATTAGTATGCTGTGAGGTCAGACTAGTGCTCTGACCTGAGGTACTAACCCATCACCCTACATACATTCTTGATTAATTTATACAAGATATCTGAATTAAAAAGGTCTGAGGGGCTATTCTACTGTACGGATTTTGTGAAATGCAACACAACAAACACTTTAGCTTATAGGGTAAATCTTCTATCTTATCCTGATTTTAGTCTTTCTCAAATGGAGACAGCTCACACCTAGTATTTACAATTTACACCTCAGTACTCACCTTCCACTGACCACCTCTGGTCCCATTCACAACCACCATTATCAGTGAGAGCTTCTCCTAGCAGGAAAATACCAATAAATTGTAGCTGATCTATGAAAATAGCAGTCTACTAAGGAGCTTTGGTAACTGTTTCTGTGGTCAACATGCATTTATGAGAACCACTGAAGTCTCTCAGAAGACTCTCTTCTTTGCTTGGGATTATATTCAGAATTTCTTGACACAAGGGTAGGTCTAATATTTAAAGAAGACACATTTATCCAATGTTGACATTTTATTTTGTCAAAATGTGTTCACTGTGCAAATGCAAATTGTTCTGTGAAATTACAGATTCCCCATTTCCCTTTTCCTCTAACAGTCCTATTTAGCAAATATATTCAGCAGTAAGAGCCTGTTTTCTTTGCCAGGATCAGAAACTTGTGCATAACCCTATGGAAGTACTGGTCATGCACCCTGCCAACAAATATGTCCATCTGGGCAAAGGCTGCCTACCGTGGTTGCACAATCAAGTGAGGACACCAGATTTCTTAAAAGTAAACAAAACAGGCTTTTGTAATCTCTAGCTACAAGGTGCAGCTGTGAGGATGTGAACATACTGACCTGACTCTACGCTTCCCAGCATGGCTGGGGAGGCCATCGTTAGGGGTGCTTTATGATTTGGAGGGATCCCAGGACTCTGAAGGGGAGGTTTTGGAGAGGAGGTCCATCCAGGTGACGGGGCAGGAAGTGATGGAGACTTGAGGTGAACAGGTGAAGCAGCAGCAGATCCCAGGACAGGTGGGGACTTAATGGAAGCAGCAGCAGCTGGGCCCGCCAGCATGCCTGCCAGCTGTGATGGAGTTTGGGGGGACTTGAGGTTCCCAGAGGGTGAGCCCAACATTGGTGACTGAACTTGGCGCATTGTGGGCGATTTCAAAGGGTTAATGCCTGGGGAATGCACCTGGCTGCCTGCCACAGATATATCCAAAGGCTTCCGCCCCAGGCCACGCTGAACTGGAGCAGCTGCATTGAGGCTAGTGGGGTTACTGGAAGGGTTGAGAGGTAGTGGTGGCATATGACTGAGCCGGCTGTTAGTCCTTTGGTCAGGCCCAACTGATTCTCTGAGATTCCGCAAGCCACTGTTGCTGCCTGGACCCTGAGACATGGGGAGGAACGGCCTGGGGCCCATGCCATACTCTTGCTGAGGGTGCTCGCCAAATGGCAGGGGTACCATCTTCTGCTGAGCAGGCAGCATGTCTCCGCCACCAGGGCGTAATTTCATCATCTCCTCAGGGCCCGCCCCAGCCTCTCTCATCTTCTGAGGTATCATCTGAGAGTTAGATCCCATGTTGATGTTTAGACTGACCTCTCCCTTCATCCCACTAGGAACCACCCCAAATTCAAGTTCCCGACCAGGGCCCATCTGTGGAGGCATTCCTTTTGGAAAGTCACCCCGGGAAGGACTCAGAGGGCCCTCAACTGGTATTCGAGGAAAAATGGTATTATTCCCAGAATCAATATGTCGCTGGGAGCCTGGGATCATCCTATTCATTTCCATGCTGGGCCTGATACCATCTATGCTTATCCCTGGAGGGAGACCCAGCTGTTTCTCTGCCAGTTGCTGTTGAAAGATCTCTTCAGACAATCCCTGGGGATTGGGGAAGCGCTCCCCTCGGCCAGGACCACTGAAGATGCCCTGACCAGGAGGGAAGTTTCGACCATCTGGGATTTTTGGCACATCATCTGGCCAACTGACTCCAGAAAGACCTGGTCTAGATGCCGGGTTGGGGATATTTGGCCCCTCCATTTCAGAGTTTATCATCCCTGCAAAGCCAGGGAGGCGCATCTGGCTCCCTGGCATGTTGGGGTGGGGAGCTATGCCCCTTTGGGGCAGAGAATGTGGCATGTTGATCCCATCAGCAAATGGCTCTGCACCCCCAGGTCCCCAGCCTTCACTGGGGGTCATCTGGTAAGGAGGGGGAGGCCCTCGGGCCACTCCTCGAGGCCCATGCTGATGGATCATCATGTCCTGGAGGGAGCACTGCTGTACAACCACTTGTTCCTGCTTTCTCCTCTTCTCTTCATAAAACTCCTGCTGCAATTTCAGCCAAGCTATCTGCTCAGGGGTCATATGATCCAAGTGGTCAGGTCCCATGGGCCCAGACTGAGAGTTCATGGAAGATGGAACCATTTCATCTGGAGAAAAGGGCACATCTCTATGTCCTTGAGAACCAAATGGAGTTCCCACATCTGTCCGGGGCCCAGGTCCCTTACCTAGGCTTTGGGATTGAGCCATCATGGCCTGTATTGGGCCTTCTGTTTTTTTCTGAGGTCCATCTAATACCCCAGTATTCTGCTGGGGTCCTCCACTTTGTCCTCCTGTGAATTCTTTCTCATCAGGGAAAAGCATTCGTTGGATATCTCTGAGTGTTTGTAAGGAGCGCTCCCGGTGCTCCAGCTGTTCCTGAGACAGTCCATCAGGGTTCTCTCCCAGTGTTGGGGGCTCTCCACTGGACACTGGTGGAGGCGGGGGGGCTTTGGAATCTGCTGATGAGCTACTGCTCCCCTGAGAGACAGGGGTCACTGCTCGGTTGTTGGGCGTCAAATTGGGCCCAGTACCATCTGGGGGCAGTGGAGTGGAGCTGGCAGGACTGCCTACAGAAGAAATCAGTTTGTTTTCTACTCCAGGACTATCCCGGTCAAGTGCCCGAGGGGGCACAGCAGGCTTGAGTGCTGGTGCCGGAATGGGTGGAGTTGGCTGTAGTCTGGTATTCTGGGAAGAATTCTGGTCCTGGCTGGCTGGAGCTGAGGGCTGCTGTGTGAGGGGTTTCGTGTCATTCCGAAGAGCAGATATCTGTGTGTTCTGAAGATAAATGAGATTTAAAAGGTAAAAATCACTGGTAAATTGAATAGAAAGGCAATTAAAACAGCAAGATATGCTATAAAGGACTCATATCAATCACACAAATCTACCCTGACACTTGCTGTAAAATTGCTCGTGTACAATCCCACTTTGGACATGGAGACTTTTTTTTTTCTTTCACTTTACTGTCAAATGGCACTGTCCTCCCCTGGCTGAAGATTAGGTTTCAATAACTTTATAAGCATGCCAGGGAGAGCCACTCTGCCAAAGTGAATATATTTGAGTATCTATTTCCAGGAACAGGTTTGATATCACATGTCTACTATGTGTTTCTGATTCGGGGCAAGATTAGTTTCTTGGTATGTGGGAGGTTGTACCTAACACCTTTTTCTTTCCCTGAAAGTATAACTCCATATGCAGACATCCCAATCAAAAGGCCTGATGTTTTCAACTGAAAGAGAGAGTACTTGTTATAGCCCCATCCACTACCAGCCAGAAGCCACAGGCAAGGCCACCCCATTTCAGTGTCTCTTCTGGCAGAGTGATGACCAATGTACTCCTCTCCTTGAGTTTCCAGGGAGCCTGGCATCACTGGTTTCTGTTTTCAGTTTGTGATCACTGACTCTATGTTTGATAAGAATTTGTACATTAACCGTAGCAAGATAATCTGCAGGCAGGAAGTGTCTGTGGAGAAATATGAGGCTATCTAGCTCATGGTGTCTCTTTATCTGTTCTTTCCAATGGATAGCAGACTGCCCTTTTTACAGGCTGGATGATTGCCTTATTATTATTTATTAAGTAGCAATGCATACTGAGTCCTTGGTAAAAGCATACTCACCTACAGCAGGTGACATGAATGCTGTTAGTACTTGGAAGAAGGACGTGGATGTTCTGGGTCTAAACTTTGGCATTGCTTGAGGTACTAAGGAACAGAACTGACCAGCCTACAAACACCACCTCAGAGATCTTTCACCAGCCTCCAGGGAGCCACATGATCCCTTTTTGTTCATTTGCTCCTACCTGTTCACTTAATCCAGTCTTTATTTCCAAAACCCTAAGGATCTTGCTTACCTCTCCATCTCCTCTCTGGAATGTTTACCTGTGAATCTCTGCATAGGAACAGTTTTTGTTGCACAAACACAAAGGCACATTTTTTAAAAATTATTTTATTGTTGCTCAAGCAGTCATCTGCATTTACTCAAAGGCACATCTTTGAGTGTTCACATTCTGTGACTGTGTGTAAGTGTTTTTCACTTGCAGGTATCCACGCACATCCATCTGCAGAGACTGGTGTGGGTCAGGATTGGCTGAATCTATAGGACTCTGTATGGTCAAAGTGTTTTCCACATCTCTGACTCTTTAAGTTGATTGTGGGGGTTACCTTCATTTCCTTCCAGTGCCATTTTAAGTTTGGTTTTGTCAGCCAAGTTCTCTTTGCTGGGGGTGGGCACTGATTTCAAATAAGGTGACTATGACAGAAGAAATATTTGAGTACCAACCTTTCTTATACTTTTTTCTTTTATTTTGTATCATCACCTGATCACATTTTTTTCATTGGTTTTAGAGAGAGAGGAAGGGAGAGAAACATTGATATGAGAGAGAAGCGTCAATTGGTTGCCTCTCTCACAGGCTCCCTGACAGGGGATTAAACCTACAACCTAGGAATGTGAGCTGACTGATAATGGAATCTGCAATCTTTTGGTTATAGGACAACTTCCCAAACAACTGAATCACAGTAGCCAGGGACAGTACCAACTCTTTCATTTTAGATTTGGAACAATGGTGATTTGACTATTCCTAATTTCCTGTTTAACTCCTTTTCTGATTTAATTTTATCATCAGAGAAGGTGGAGGAAAAAACTGTATTAAAACCTATCATTAAGCCCTGACTGGTGTGGTTCAGTGGGTTGGGCATCATCCCACAGACCAAAGGGTCACTGGTTCAATTCCCAGTCAGGGCACATGCCTGGGTTTCAGGCCAGGTCCCTGGTTAGGAGCATGTGACAGGCAACCACACACTGACGTTTCTTTCTCCTTCTCTTTCTCCTTCCCTTTCCCTCTCTCTGAAAATAAATAAATACAATCTTCTTTAGAAAATCTGTCATTAAGTCAATAAAATGTTGAACTGCATTATATCCTATGCATCCTAAGACAATATAAAATTTTAATTTATGTAAGTATAAATTAAAAAACATATATACAGATAAACACATATTTTAAATATTAGATATGTCCATCTTCTGTCCTTACATAGTAGAGATGCATGCGGAAAATAAAATTTCTTTTTCAAGTCTAGGGAAACCCAAACTCTGTTAACAGAGAGGAGCTTTGTTGATATACAACATATACAAAATGTCATCTATTTTATTTTGAATTGTCACTTCAGTCATTTATTGCCATTTAACTTTTCCCATGTTCAAGAGTAATCCCAGTATTAGATGCTTTGCTTCCTGAAAGCAGAGACTCTCTTGAACCTCACAGTGTCCCCATAGCATTCAGTGAAATGCCTTAACAATGCCAGACGCAAAAAATATCTTTTGGTTTAATTTGGAACACTGCCTATGTTAAAATAACCACTGTATATTTTTTCTAATGTAGTTTATGTTAAGTGCTTTAAGTTCCAGGCAGGAAACAGACTAACTTTTGTTATAATTTTGAAAATATCAAGCAATCAAAAGTATCGAATATTTTTAATTACTCTTATTTTGAAATAATTAAGAATCATTTTGAAAATTACCAAGACTCTGATTTATTTACGACCTTATAATTCTATGACTATGATTTACTGGCATGTACTTCCACTATTATAGTTTTAGTTGTTGCTTTTTTCTGTTCTTCATCTAACTCGAGAGTGTTTTTTTTAAATCCTGCTTTAATTTAGAATTTAGATTTTCCCAGAGATAGTTACATGAAAGAAATCATAAGATATCTATCTAACTCCTTTTTCATTTTCCATCTTTTCCCTCCTAGTAATTCATCAATATTACCAGCTGGCTAGTAGAAAAGGCCAGTATAGTGTGACAGGCCTCAAACCACAATACCAAATTTAGGTTAAATGCCCAGAATGTAGTTTATAACATCAAGACTATTGCCCTATGGATGACATTCCCCATCTCCCACCTTTAGTCAGAACCTTTAAATCATTATATCAATTCCAAAATGACATACCAGGGGGGCTGTGCTTCTCTCTACCTTGCTGTTTGAGATATTCTGGATGTGGAAAGAGACAATTGTTTCAACCTGGCCCTTCAATACCGCTTCCGCAGCTCTGCAAAGACAGAAAGGCACACACAGAGGTTTGTTTCTAGTTCACTTACTCTAAGTCCAAAGCACTTTCGCCCCATACTGAACTTGTAAGAGGGAGGAAGGAGAAGTATAGAGAACCACCAGAAATGTTGAAGAGAGCAACAGAAATAGGTTATCATTATACAAGGGGGGACCCCAAAAAACCCTGCAATTTATTTATTAAAAAGTATGTATTTTTTCTTACATTTTAAACTTTGGTCACCTTCAAAGTACTCTCCATTTGATGCAATACACCTATCAAGACTTTCTTCCTTTTTGGATTTGTCGATTTTGATCCCTTAAGGTGCTTCTGCCATTTTTTGTTTCACCTCAGCAAAATGTTTCCCTTTGAGGACTTTTTCATTGGGGGAAAAAAAAAAGTTGCTTGGGGCAAGGTGAGATCAGGTGAATAAGAAGGGTGGGGCACAGGGGTCATACCCTGTTGGTCAAAAACTGCTGAACACTCAGTGCAGTGTGGGCAGGGACGGCAGGTGTGCTCATAAATTTCCCATCATGAAGTGGGCAAAGGTGTTAAAAGAGCCTTCAAAAAAAATTCACTGAAGCCTAATATAGCCACTCACAATGCCACCAGCTGGTGCACTGATACAGAAAGGTTCCTAGAACACTCATCTACTGGGGGGAATCCTGTACTACAAGGGGCATGGCCTCTAGAAGATAATTTGTTTTGGGGGAGCCCCCCCTCATATTTCTACCATTTACCATTAAACTTCTTGAAACTAAAAGATAGCCATTAGCAAATCTCAAAAGAGACAAAAAAAATCCAAGATTTTCTACCTCAAACCAGTACACTGTGGTGGGTATTTTATAGAAAAGCCTAGTTCGAAATTGGCGGCTGAACTATAACCTGGAAAAGACAGCTAACGTCAAACCAGGGCGCGAAGAGAACCACCAATGGTATATTGCCGCTTTGTTCAAAGGGGACCAATCCCCAGCTCCCACGAAGAGAGCCAAGATAAAACCCTGCCATATTCCCTGCTTGGGGTGACTTCCCCGGCATCACTGTGTGAACTGGAGAACCTCGCCTAGGTGCGCAAACCTCAATAAAGCTCTATACTGCCTAACTTTGTGGCTGATTGGCATTTATTCCTCAACGGAGCCTAAGAAAACCTTTCACTCATAACACCTAATGATACTAAGGCTGTCAAAATTCACTTTGTACATTAATTTTAAAATCTTAATTGAAAAGAAAGTCAGAAAACTGTATGTAGGCTATTTTTACATTTTTAATAAATAAATAAGTAAAAATCCATTGTCCATCCATCCACCAGAAACACATGTACCAAAATGTTCAGAGTAGTTATCTTGATGAATTCCAGAGATATTTTTCTTTTTAGTTACTTACATTTTTTAATTATTCCAAAATAGACATGTATTTATTACATCATTTAAAAAAAAGAATAGGAAGGTATAAAAAAGTATATGGCATAATCAATCCCTTTTGTGTTTAAAAAGGTATATATGTATATTTGCATAAGCACAAAATATTTCTGGAAGGAAAGCCAAGGAAGTTATCATTGTGGCTGCCTCTGTGAAGCAGGGCTGGGGAGGTTTTATATTTTATTTGACCTCTTTCTGTGCTGTTAACTTAAGTGTGGGGGATGGGGGGAGAAAAGGATCAATAAGAACTTAGGTGCCCAAATGTGCAAGCCAAGTCAACAGCAAGACACAGCCATCAACTTACTTATTGGCCATCTCAGTAGAAAACACATACACCACTTTGGCTGGAGTCTTCTGAGCAGGTGTGGGCTCTGGGACAGTAGTCTGGCCATGGGAGGGGGTAGAAGACCTGGGAGCCGTAGCATTTGACGGGGTCATCGAGTGTGGTGTGTGTTGTGAATCCTGGGACTTTATATGGTCAGCAGAATTACATTCTGAAAGAATGAAAAGACTCATGTCATAGAAGGAATAAAACTCTCTTCTGCCAGCATATACAAATTCCTAACACAAACCCACCTTGAGAATTTTAAGGAGGAAGTACCTTGCTAAGAGAAAACCTCTTTTACTCATAAAAAACGGAAATAGGCTTCTCTCTAAATGACTAATTATAAAACATTCTCCCCCCATCTCCTCTACCATACATCCTTCAGATAGTAGCATAAATGTCTCTTCTTCCCAGAAACCTCTTTGGAACCTCTTGAACTGGACCAGATACCCCTGCTAGTTGAACCCAGAGCCCCTAATTTCTCTTATTTTAGCATTTAGCATTTTATAAATGTTATCGAGATTGTTTAATGGTCTGTCTAGGTGCACTCAAATCCTTCAGGAGAGCAACTGTATCTGTCTTCCTGGCCATGGCACCACCCACACCCAGCACAGTGCTGGCACTACTAACAGGCTTCCCACAAACACCTGAGGGAGGAAGGAAAGACAGCTAAATATTCACCCAGGCTTTCATTTCTAATTTGGGTTTGAGAATCACACTTCCACTTCTTGAATACTAACTTCATGTTCTGACCTGCAGTTAAAGACTTTTTCTAAAACCAGTAGAAAAAAGGCCGAAAACCACAGCCACTGGTTCCATATTTTTGCTGGATTGCTCCATTTTTGTGCCTACCTGATCTCTATCACATGTAGCCACTCACTCACTGAGATCAGGTGTGACAAACTTAGACTAGTGCCAGGACTTCCCCTTGTGCCTACAACTCTGGCAAAGTGGCAACCAGACAGCACAAAACCCACGTTTTGGAGAATTAGTCTGATGGAGAAGAAAAGGAAAGGCTAGAAAAACTGCTCCAGTGTGGGCCACTTGCATTGACTAACTGGAGCTACTGGCTTGATACTGAAGCACATCCATCAGAACATGGTTAGGGTCATGGAACATGTGACCATAAACCCCCAAAACCTGCACATCCTTCAGGGCAAGAATTCCTCAATTAGGTGGTTCCAAACTATTCTTCAGTATAGGAAAATGGGAAGAAGCAGTTCCATCTTAAACTGCAAACTCCTGAATCTGACACCTACTCTCCTCACTTGGCTATTAGGTTCTCCAACATCCACCAATGTCAGAGGCCTTCCCTCAGGAATACCTATATCCCTCTGAGTCTCAAAGATCTTATAGACATACCTTTAATGTCAGAGTCATCGTTTGGAGTCTCAGGATCTCTCTGATCAAAGGAGTCGGCGGAAATACTTCGCTCCCTTTTCCCCTTGCCCTTGGCAACATTTCCAGCCCCATTCTTCAGCCCCATGCTCCCACCTGGGCCAGGGAGCGCTTTAGGGGTATGGCCCCCACTCTTGGAGTCACAGGGGGATGGCTGGGATTGGCTGGCTGAGCCCCCCTGTTTACCCTGATTGGAGAATTTGGAATCCAGCTGGGGGTTTCCAGATGGGGACATCACTGTAGGGGGACGAACCATCACCTCCTGCTTTGACTTAGGGCTACTAAAAGAGACAAATAACAAAGGGAGATCAGACACTGGATATAGCTGGTCATCACAAATTAGGGGGAAGCAGAAGCAGTGCGGTGATTACTTGAAGCCTCAGTACCCACTCCACGTTTCACCTTAGCAACTTGCTTGTTCTCTACACCCCTGCTCCCATCTCAGAGAGAAGGACCAAACAGAATGGCCTGCCACAGGGGGACCCATCTCTAGGGCTTCTGTCAATAAAGGACAATGGTACACAGAGTCTTACACTAAGACTAGTGCAGAGTAAACAAATAGGCATCATGAAGATCAAAATACTACCCAGCCCCGAACCCCCGGCAGCTGATGACATGGGACAGCTGTAACGGGAGTCCAGCTTCCCTGCTGGAAAATACAAGCAGGTCCAGAAGAGTGTGGAAATCCTCTGTGACTGCCAGGTTAGGAAAACCCTCCAGATCTCAACCCCCACCTCACCAATAAGCAGCATCACACAGAGCAAATACACTAACCCCTACCCCCAGGGAACTAGGAAAAATTCTTGTAAAATGTCAGTTTAAGTGCTATGGACCAAAGGAAAAAGCTTCACAGTCCAGGGGCCATTGTTTTAGTTCAGGGACCTTAGTTCTCCTCACGATCCCAGGCCTCAGTTCCCTCATTTACCAAGTTGAGCACATTGTACTGAGTAGTCTTTAAGGTTCTTTTATTTGTGCTTTGGTGAGGAGAGAGTGGTAAGGAGAAGAGGTCAAGGGATGACGGACAAAAGAATAGCAAAGAAAAACTTTGAACATAAATGTTGCCTGTTTACTATCCTATTACTGTTTACTTATCTATTTTCTCCTACTTTCCCCATTTGGTTTCATTTACTTCTAGTTCTACACATTGGTCCCCCTACACATCCCCAAGTGGTCATAGGCACAGCTCTTGCCCTTACCTCTGTGTGTTTCCTGACGGAGAGTTCCTCACTTTTGGGTTACTGGAATGCATTGATTGAAATCCTGAGCCTGCAGTCACGAACAGGGACAGGCTCCCCGAGTTCGTCTCGGGCTACAGCAGAAATGGATACTGCGGGCAGTGGCAGCGGCCCACTGCTTGCTGGGTGTGTCCCTTAGTGCTGGCCACCTGTATGCCTTTTTCCTCTTTGTTTTCCTCTGCTGTGGAAATGGGTCCTTTCCCCTTGCAGCTCCAGCATTCTCTGGGTGTGTGCCTCCTGCTGCCAAAGGAAAATCTCGCATCTCCAGGGCACACTGTATGAACAGTCCACCCAGAAAAGAATTGGGCAAAAACACAGAGACATAGAATACCCTTAGAACAGGATCAAGGTTAAAGCACTAGCCAACTCGACAACACAGCAGCTAGATCATTCCTCAGCTTCCATCAGGGTTAAAGGACAGGGTGATGTTCATATTCTGGCCAAAAGGCTCTGGTACTAAAGCAGCTGAAGAATGGCTAAGACTTTCTGCCAAGCATACCAGCCTCCCACCCAAGCATCATGTAGCAGGCATTTGCAAGCAGATATGAGAAAAACATTTTTATCTTGAGCCACATATTCTCTATTACACTTCTCTACTTCCGAATACAAAACCCTCAAAAACTTGAGTTTTTACTTTTTCAAAACAATGCTTTGAAAACCATGGGTTCTCCAAATCCATAGCAACTCTCTGGTGTTTCACCTTTGATGACAAACAATGCAACCGAAATGGAACAAACCCATCCCAACTTCAAACCATGAAACAAATTAATCTATGCTTATATTCTTAGAGCCTTAGGGTGGGGAGACGTTAAAAGAGATATTTCTGAAATCAACTATAGAGCCAATACTAAATACATCAGTTATTTTCTCTGATTTCCATGATCTTTCTGTTAAGTTATGTCAAGCACACGTCTTGTGTTCTCACTGCTTAATGACAGGGATTGCAGGCATGGGTAAGCATGGGAATGATCCATAATGCTGAAGGTAAAAGAACACCTTTGTAGGCTATGATATTTTAGAACCAATTTGCAAGGCTAATTTAAAGTATGAAGGTCAAGAAAATATTCCTATGAAGGTCAAGAAAATATTCCCAAACATAGGCAGAGTACAAACGAGAAAGCCCTTCATTTAGGGAAAAGATGGTCTCTGTGTAACCACTGTTCCTTTACCCCCCCTCCCTGCCTTCTGATATTTCACCAGTGGTGTATAGGACTAAAGAAAAAGGATATTAAATACAGGATAATGGCTAAACAATCAAGGGAGTTAGAAGTAACTCAGGTGTTACAGCTTACATATACTTTGGGAGACTTAAGAGCTGGACTAAAATTGGGAAGATTAGTTATATTTGAGGTTTTGGCACTGTGTATGGTTACTGTCAAGTGTGATGTGTCTACTTCTTCATTTAGAAATGTGCAATAGTTCCAGCTATTTTACCTGAGACACTGTGAAAGTAATATATGGAAGTTCTGAGGCACACAATTACATTCTTTTCTTTTTACATGAATAAAATGCTATGAAATATTTCTATGTTGACCTTAGGGAGAAAGTATCTCCCAAAACATTTTGGTCTTAATTATATTTAAGGTTGTATTTTTATCCCCTACCACCTTCCGCATTCCCCACCCCCCTCAGATTAGATTATAAAATTGATTGTGGTGGTCAAGTTTGACATACACAATCATAAACCATTTTGTAACTTCTCACTAAATCACTGGTAAAACAGACATAGCAAATGCATCTTGAATGGAGAAAGCCATCAGAAAACATTTACCTCAAGAAAAAAAAAGCTGTTACCACCTATATAGTCCCTTTCTGTAACTTCTTCTGGTACTTTCTGTCTGCATCATACATTCTAGCACTCAATCATATGTTGCATTGAATAGTTTTATGTGTATACTGTACAAACACTATGTTCTTTGAAGAAAAAACCTTGTTTTAAAGTTCTTTGATTTTTTAAAAGTACATTTTATTGACTATGCTGTTACAGTTGTCTCATTTTTTTCTCCTCCCCTTTATTTCCCTCCACCCTGCACCACCACTTCTGCACCAGCATTCCCCCAACTAAGTTCATGTCCATGGGTCATACATATAAGTTCTTTGGCTTCTACATTTCCTATACTATTCTTAACCTCCCCCTGTCTATTTTGTCCCTACCATTTATGTTCTTTATTCTCTGTAACTTAACCCCTACCCTCGCCCGCACCCTGCTGATAACCATCCATGTGATCTCCATTTCTGTGATTCTGTTCCAAAACACTTTTATTTTCAAAGTGACCTGGCTCTTTGCCCTAAGTCATCTTCTTACCATTACGTTATGGGTGGAGAGACCCACAGAAGGCTGAAACAAGCATGTTGGTTCACCTAGTGATGGGAAAACACAGGTGTTTCAACCCCTAATCCATGGGAGTAGTTGAAATGTCACCACAGCTTTAGCCTTCCTGACACTTAAAACAACTAAACAAAAAATCTGCCAAGTATCTTATCACATAGTTCTAAAGAATAAAATTAGGCTCTTCAGCTCCTACATTTGCAGGTTGGTGCTCAACTGTTTACTTTTAAGGACTGGAAAAAATCTTTAAAAAAATGGTTAATAGCCAGAGAAAGATTACTTTTCCCAATGTAACTGAATCTCCTAACTCCTTAGATCTACATATACGTACTCCTCTTTTCTTCTTAAAAAATACTCCTGGCTGGCATAGCTCAGTGGATTGAGCGCGGGCTGCGAACCAAAGTGTTGCAGGTTCAATTCCCAGCCAGGGTACGTGCCTAGGTTGTGGGCAATAACCCCCAGCAACCGCACATTGATGTTTCTCTCTCTCTATCTCCCTCCCTGTCCTCTGTAAAAAAAAAGTAAATAAATAAAATCTTTAAAAAAAATACTTAAAACACTTAGTATGTGTCAGTCATTCTTCCAAGCATTGTCCATATATATTCACTCATTCACAATCACCCCAGAAGTCCCTGCTATTCCTATTTCACAGATGAAAAGATTCACTCTCTTAGTTTCCAAAATGGCACACTTTCCTAGGCTTCCGCCTACCACTCCAGTCCTTTTTTGCTTCCTTTGCTGGCCGCTTCTCTATGCAATTTCTTCAGTTTAAAGTTCCCCAGGACTCTACCCTGGGTCCTCTTCTCTTCTCATTCTGTCAGTTCTCACCATGCCAACAACCCCATTCTTATATCTCCGCCTGTAGGCCTACACACGCAACTACAATCTGGCATCACCCTCAACATCTCAAAGTTAACAAGATCAAAAACTGAGTCTTCTTCTCTATCTAACCTCCCTCCCAAAAACATTTTTCCCTTGATATTTCACATTTTAGTAAATGGCACCTTCATCCACCCACCTGTCAGTAATGTGGGGTTCATTCTTGACACCTTTCTCCCTTACTCCAACCTAAATACTAAGTTTGAATATTTTTGCTGAATTAAGTCTCAGCCTCAGTTGTTTGTTCTTCAGAGAGAAAGGATACCTGAAAGCCACTGATCTGCATGAAATTCTCCATTATACTCTTTTCAGAGCATCCTATGTTCTTTTACCTTTGCAACATTTTCCATGTTTTGTAATTATGTGCTACATTCATCTCTCTCACTAGGCTCCATGAAGGAAAGGACCAAGACTGGTATGTTCATCCCTGTAACCCCAGCATGTACCATAGTATCTGGCACATGGTATTTGCTCAGAAAATATTTGCTGAATAAAAATGGAAAATTTCCCCCAAGATCATTTTTCTAAGTCAGGCATGGTTTCTAGTGTTATCATCCATCAGGCTACTCACCAAACCCCCCAGGGTCACGATACTGCAGTGCTCATCCTGGAGATGAGAAGTTGGAGAAGTCCAGGAACCCCTGGCTCAAAGATGACCCTCCTCTGGATGAGAATAAAGTAAAGAAGAAAAATTCCTAAGTGGATTTAATTGCTACTGAATATCCAAAGAGAAGGACAGGTTCTCTATTTAATCTAGAATATGAGTTTAAGAGGAAGTTGTCATCTCTCATGTAAACAGAATGAATATAAAGGATATATTACCCAATCAGTAAATATTTCAAGGCCCTGTGACTTTCCCTCCTTCCCAACTGCACACTGTATTTTCAAAGACTAGAGAAATAGTAAGTACTTACTTCTTGTAAGTACTGACTTCTACTTTTTAAATTTCTGGGCATTTAGTAGAAAAAAGAACTATTTTTGCTTCTGCACATTCCTTATTAATATAGAGAATTGAGAACTAACTGTAAAAGTGAGACTAAATTCCAGACACACTTTTGAATTCAGAAAGTGAATACCATTCACAGCTCCTCCCTACTCTCAACTGTAACTCTGCATGGTGAGCATTCAGCAAGAAGATTTATTTTCATATAACCTTTTGGGGAAGATAGGGCTGAACAACTGGGCCACATGATTTCCTTTGCTTGAATGCCTACTGTGTGCAAAATGCTATCCTAAGTTGAGCTATATAAGTCAATAAAAGACTGAAGTTCTAGTCAAGTAAAACAATGTCCAACAAGAGTCCTTGTAAATTAGAATTGTATCACTGAGCCTCTCCCTTTGCCCAGAATGTATAGTTGTCAAATTGCAAGGAAGAAACAAGTTCTAGAGTATTCTATGGCCAAATTATTTAGGAAACGTTAAAAGAAGGTTCTACAAGGTTGCCCAAATAAATTTACAAATTAATCTAACCAATGCCAGAATCACCTCTATGGTTCCAATTTCAACTCTTCCAATGATGCTTTCCCACTTTCCTGCTCTAAAAAGTCAAGTTTATTACAACTATGTCATATTTAACAATTTTTCTAGGCTATGACCATTGCTCCATAAAAGGCATAGCATCAAACTTATAATGTGGAACTAAAAGGCCTCAGGATTTCATTCCTCGCTCATTCTTACCTTCTGACATGCCAAATACTAAAAGGCTTGCTCTCAGAAAAAGTACACAATAGAAAGAACCAATCTTTCCCCAACATGTGGTGGAAAAAAAAAACAACTATATAATTGGCATGTACAGAAAACGTTGGTACAAACAAAACACTACTTTGTTCTCATATTCACAGGGTAAAAGTGTATATCTACCATCCTTAAAGCTAACAAACTTTAAGCAAGCATATAAAAATGTGTATCAAGCTAAAGCACTGACAAAATGTAAGCATTCAAAAATGAATTTCAACTACCATCATTTAGAGTAATAGCTCCTCAAAGTAAAATTTCAGCACAAATGCTTTTTTTAAAATAAAATTCTCTTTGAGTCCCAGCTACCCCCAAGAATGTTCTCCATGGCCCCACAGTCTTGTATACACAACACTATTATAACACTGATAAAATGTATCCCTCTGATGTGCAGGCAGGGAGCCCCTGGGGAAAAAGTTCATCATCTCAGCACCTCACAACCCCCAACAGAAACTCAATAAACGCAGCTAGATAAGTCAGGCTGACCTAAATGCAGGTGGATCCATGTAGAATAATGACCTGGGGCTTGCACATTGCTACATTGCCTCACAGTCACACCAACCAATTATGACTTGACACATACCTGTTTAGCTCCTCACCACCTGCCTTTTCCTATGAGGTGCATTATTGCACAAGGCCCTGGTCACAGAAAAGTATAAGGTAACTGCACTGACAGTTCTGCCTGGCATTTCAGATGACCTCTGCCTTGGGAACTGCTATAATAATAAACACATGCAGTTTTAACTTACAAGAGACTCTACAGAAAAATACACAAAAAATACAACACACTCAGACTAAATCCCAGAAGTAATAGGCTTATCATTAGGCTCTTTACCTTTCGAGAGGTCCAATTTGCTATCTCTTCTACATTGGGACAAAGGAACTTTTCCAGGAATGATCTCCACCTCCCACACAGATGGGAAGTTTTAGGTCAAAGTGGAGTAACACCAGTTAGTCCCACATTTAGTCCTACAGGGATGAGAAGAATGGAAAATTTCATACTCCAATTCACAACAATTGCAAAAAAAACACAAAACCATAAAACAAAAAAACACCACACACCAATTCCCCAAAGCACTGAGAACAAAACAATATTTGGAATGATTAGGAAGGTCTAGGTCAGGGGTGTCAAATTCATTTTCACCGGGGGCCACATCCTTCAAAGGCAATAATTTTAGGACTGTATAAATGTAACTACTCCTTAACTATTAAGGAGTTGAAATTACATTCGGCCCTTTGAAGGCAACTGTGAGGCTGATGTGGCCCCCTGTGAAAATGAGTTTGACACCCCTGGTCTAGGTCAAAAATAGGAAAGGAAGGCAAACCACTAAAATTCAAAATGCAAACTGGAGCACTACAGCCCAAATCCATCCCAATCAAGACTTGGGAAGTTTAGAAACAGCAAAATCCACCAGATACAAAAGCCTCATTCTTGTTGTTTTTGACTTTCTCCACAACCAAAACCAGTCACCACTGGTTGCAAAGTGGCCTTTTATTTCATATCTTTTCTATGCCCTTTCTTTTAGCATGGAGGAGATGCTGAGAAAATATTAAAAAGCATAAAATGCAAGTGGCCATAAGATAACTTAACTTTCAAAAATCAGTTGATCTAGACAGGAATTTTTCACCTGGGATCTACTACTTCAAGGGATCTGTGAAGAGACTTGCAGGTGGAGGGGAGCTGTGAACTTGCTGAGGAAAACTTTCATCTTCATAGTCACCAACCTCTAAGTAAAACTTAGCACTGCCTTTAAATGTGAACATAGGTGACAACTGGTGTTCGTAGTATTAGCGATCCTGTGACTATGACACAAAAGAAACCACAAAGACACTTTCACATCACATTACAGTTGTTGCACATATGGCCACATAGTATTTACACTCATGACTACTTCAAAATTATAGTATCATTAGACTTGCTGCTACTTTTTGCTATTTACTGTTATAAAGAAGCATATAAATGACTGTGTCACACCTATTTAACATTTCATCTGTAATTCTATTTTATGCATTTAAAAAGACATAATTATCAGAAGGGGTCCTAATGATTCATTAGATTGCTGAAGAGGTACATGGACATAGATGGTTAAGAATCCCTGGTCTACTGCAAATAAAATTTCTAGATCCTGATATCATAGTCATCAAGGCAGACAGACAAGTAAATCATTCCACCAGTATTATTTCATATTTGAAGAAAATTAAGCCACCAAGAGACCAAGTAACATGTCCAAGGTCACACAAATTTAGAATTGGTATCAATCTCAGGTTAGCACTCACAGCATGTATATTCCCACTCTTCCACAGGGACCTTTGCAATAGGGACCAAGAATTGTACATTCTTAAAATTGTTGTCACTATTTCTGTCTTGCCACTAAATGGGGAACAAACATCACCTCTCGAAACTAATAAAAAACCAAAACCCAGACAACAGAACAAGACAGATGTATAAACTACTCCTTTTTGTCCCTTAATCGATTGTGCTAATAATTGCTACAAATGCTGAATTTGGTATGTTCCTGAGGCAGGTTTTTAGAAGTGAGAAAAAGGTTGTGCTATGTAATAATCTCTCATTCTCAGAAGTGTTCAAAGAACTTTGCAGATAGGCATTAACTTGCTAAGCACTGCAATAAGTTACAAGTCATCTGGGCAGAGGTATCACCACATCTTAAGTGGGAAAAGAAAACTGGAGAATAATTAAGATTTGTTCAAAGTGACACCGAAGCTAATGGGAGAACTTCCTGGTATCTCTAACCACTATACCAAGTCATCATGATCAAATACTTGGTTGATTATAATGCTTATGAAACCTCTGTACTTTCTTCTCCTACAAGCCAGAGAGCATTTTCTTTTGATTCAGAGGAGCAGACACTTCCGAAGGCCAGAGGGAAAATATCCCTTAAAATAAATTCCAATGTGCATAAGTACTTTTTTTTTCACTTATGCTAGTCATCTAAGAACCCAGGTGAGGAATCCCTACCTAGCTCAAAAGCCAAATTACATACAACTTGCCTTATATAAAAAGAACAGTATGGAAATTGTTCCTTCATCTTTTAGTCAATCACCTTCTTATCTATCTACTCTATCTTATGAAACTATTATCTTACATCCAAAACTGTTATTACAAAGTAATATTCTAATGGTTTAATATCATTAGACCCTAGGTCCTAAAACTATGCAATGTCACCCCTGTTTCAATTTTGCATTACATTTTCTCTTCTTGTCAAAACGACCAATTAATAGTATCCTCAGTCCTCAAAGCATTCTTACGCCACAGCTTAAGCCCTTGTCACTCTTAAGAGATCTTTATTTCTTTTAAAGATTTTATTTATTTTTAGAGAGGAAGGGAGAGAAAGAATGAGAGAGAAACATCGATGTGCAACAGACACACCAATAGGGTTGCCACTCATACACCCCACACTGGGGACCTGGCAGGCAACCCAGGTATGTGCCCTCCTGGCTGGTAATTGAACCTGCTACCTTCCAGTTCGCAGGCCAGCACTCAATCCACTGAGCCACATCAGCCAGGGCTGAAAGAGGTCTCTTCTTAAATTTGTACTCAGGACCATAACATTAGTCACACTAACATTAATTTCTTTGCTAAAACTTCCCAAATTACTAGCTCCCAGGCAAAAAAAGTCAACAGGACTATTACTTACATGATCTCCCTAAAGAATCAAAGGTTCTTAACTCACACATCAGTCTTACCCACCAATATCCTTTCCCCCCTACCCAATCTCTCAAATACTTCACCAGTTATCCCTCCCACCTGCCAAATCTGATTCATTGCTTTGTGAACAATCTACGAGTTCAAATCTCTGGCTCAAGAATGAATATTTAATTTTTGAATATATAAAACGTTAGCAAATACTCCACCATGTGCCTCTGATCAAAAGGTAACTCTTCACATAGCCACTCAAGCATTTTCCCACTAAAACACTGGCAGTAGGCTGCAATTTAGGCTCTAAGCCACTCCTCTCCAACACAGACCACGGCCCTTGGAGGACAGATTTCAGGTCCTGAAGGCTTAGGCGCCTTCACATAAGACCCCCAGAAACACTATTACAGGCCTCTGGCTCTTCCCTCTGAACATCATAACCTGCTGCTGTTTCCCTTGGGGGATCTCCATTTCACTAGGCTCACCCAACACTAACTAGTGACATCTTAATAGTGTTTGCAACTTTCAAAGGTCACTGACTGGGGATCCACTATGGAAATCACTGGTGTGTCCACTACCCCCATAATGACTTGGTGACCATCACTACCTCACCTGCTTGAGTCCTTTTACTATTCATCGAGTCTTTTTGGCTTTCACTTTCCCCCACCCTCCAACAAGTCACTGGCCTGCAAAGTCCCCTTTACCTCTCTATCCATTTTCGGGGACTTACAGACCCCACCAAACTCAACCCGAATTCCCATTTTTAGCTCTCCATTTCGCCCCTCAAATGCCCCTTCATTCCAGGACTCTAGGACCGTCCCATCTCATTTAGCTTCTCCAAGCACTGCTTGAGACATAACCTAAAAAAATCGAGGTGCCTCAGTTTGCCCCCATCGCTCAGGTTAGAGAACATCCCTCACATACCCCCACAGGTTTCTCCAGACTCAACTCACTAAATCCGCAACCTCTACCCCCTCCTTTTCCCCGTCCCCGCCTCCCAGTTCCACGGCTTTCAGCGACCGTGGCTGCCCCTGCCGCCAAACCGGCTCAAAACACGCGGGCGCGGACCCGTTTCCCCCAACCCACCCCTACCGCCCAGGCTCCGGTCCTTCCCCTCCCCCTTCCCCCTGAGGTGCCACTTACCCCCAAGGCAGGAGTGGGGGAGGGGAGAGTCTCGGAGTAGGGGAGGGGCTTCGGTCCCAGGCGGCTCTCAGCCCCAGGGGGCCGGGGCCGGGGCCAGGGCCAGCCGCTGCAGCAGCAGCGCAGCGTCTCCCCCCGGTGGCGGCGGCGACGGCGGCGGCGGCTCCGTCCCACTCCCGCAGACACACATAGGCTCCATTGTCCGCCGGCACCTCCCCCTTTCCGGCTATCCTCTCCCGGTACCGCCCCTTCCCTCTCCCTTCTGCCCTCCTCCTAGCCGCACCGCGCCAAGAACTGTACTGCCAGACCCGCCTCAGACGCAGGCACAGTAGGGCCCCCTCCCCCCGGCCTCGACGCCCCGTAAGGCAAAGGAAGGAGACTGCCCTTATCCGCCACAGCGCCCGGCCGGGCCGCCGGGAAGGGCCCACCCCCATCCGAGGGAATGTCAGTTGACCCCCTCCCAGAACTCGCGCGTTGGTACCAACCCGGCCGCTTCCTCCTCCCACTCCCCTGCCTTCCCGGAGAGGTACCGCCCTCGCCCCGCCTACCCAAATAGCCCCGCCTTCTAGACCCCCGCCTCTCCCTCCCAATATTTTACTAAGGGACCGCCCACCGCCGGTACTACCTCCTGCTTTGCGTGGACACTCCCATCGGATTCCCTCCCCAATTAGCCATCAGGCCAGAAGAGACGCCTACTCCCCACCTTAAAGCGGCAGAGTCCTTTTGCGCAACTGAACCTCCCCAAGGGCCGGCGGGGTGGGCCAGGGAGGATCTCTTCTTCCTAGGCACACACTCACCCAGACAGTCCCCCCAACGCCTTCCGCAGCACTAGTGAGCAGCCCAAGGGGACTGGAAAAGGTGCGGAGGGGGAAAGGGCAGCGTGGAATCTGGCCACCTTTGACAGAAACGATTTGGGAGCTGCTGAAAGGAAGGAGTCTTTCCCTCACACTTGCGTGCCTTCCCTGGTCCCGGCCTAATCCTCAGTCTTCAAGGTTACTTCTTCACGTCTCCAGGATGCATCCCCATCCCCTCTGTTGTCCCCTGTTTTCACCCCTCAATCTCTGCACTGCCTTTGCTTTGGCTGGCTTTCTCCCCTCCCAGGGGAGCAGGCCCCTCTCGCGGTTGCACTCCCTTCCACCCTCTTCAAAGCAGATTCTCTCAAGGGTCCTGCAGGAGCTGCATCGGGGTCTCTCGTTCCATATCCGTTCCAGCCCAGCCTCGCTCATGCATCACTACCTAGTGCTCATAGGAGACCTTCTGTCCAAATATCCTCAATCGCTGCACTACCGGTTTTTAATAGCAGTACACTCCCCAGATTCTTCGAAATACCTCTGCTTTAGGGAGCGCAAAGCCGGGGCATCCTGGCACTGTCCTCCGTGAAGTGAGAAAGTAAACTATTAGAACTTTTTCTCAGCAGGAAAAAATGACAGCATCATGGTGAGCGCATGTTGCTGGATAAAACTGAGTCCAGCTACTTCTGTTTTATCTTTATGGCCCTTGTTGCTACCCTGATCAGTGGTTATTACAGACCTGTCTGTTCCACAGCCCTCCCCAGAACACACTGTAGTTACACCTCTGTTTGTAGAGTCTAGATGTTAAGATGTTTCTGCAGCTATGTGCACTGGCCCCACAGCTTTTCTGAAGCACCTAAGTTAAGCCTATCTATGTTATAAAGTACTACGTATTCTCCCCAAAGATAAATGGAGGCAACATGGCCAAGAGAAGTAGATAAATTTTCTTCTGTTTTTGTTTCTATCGCCCATGGTTTTAACCAGGCTACTTATTTCTGTATCAGCTTCTCTGTCTACAATAGGAAGTCTTTCTTGGGGCAACCTTTTAAAAAATGGTGCTGGCTGTAAAGGATGGTACAGGAGAGCCCTGAGTGGTAAAAAGCTTTGGAAACCATTTAAAACTCTTGACTGGTCATGTAAGTATATATACCATGCTTCCCCAGCTTAGATCCTATGAAAAACTTTTTCACAGCAATATATTTTCTCTGCCTTCCATTATGACTGAGGATATAAATGTAGAAAAAAAAGACAATAGTAGGTAAAACAATATAAATCTAAGATCAGTTGAAGGATTCCAAATGGGATATAATTAAAATAAAATGCTTTTTTGAGACAATTTTTGCCAGTAAAACATTTGATGTAATATAGGTAAAAACCTCTGTAAAAGAAGGCAAGAAGAAAAAGGTTCATGGGCAAATGAAAAGACAACTAAACCCAAGAAACACTTGAGATTGCTACTGTAGGTGGAAATAAGGGATTTCGTAGACTGTATCTATACAAAAAAAAAATCACTACCAAAATAAGGTCTGGGCTGGGGCATTCCAGACCAGACCACCTTTACTCAGGAAGCTAAAAAAAAACCCAGCTCATTATAACAATAATACACATGCAAAACATCTTAACCATTTTATTAGGCATTACACCCTCTCTCTACTGTATGTGTCAAAGTTCAAAATTATTTAATGAGACAGAAGAAAAATATAATGAATATTAAACGCAAAACTAGAGTAAAATGGCAATAATGTCAAGCATTTAAGGATGCTAAAAGTCATGCAATTTAATTATTAAGATTGCCGCAGTAATAGTAATCTAGCTGCATTGCACCTGGGATAAAAATGTGTTTTAAAATGATATATTCTATCAAATATTTATTTTACTAAACTTTTAAAATCTGAATTTTCCATCGTCCATACATTTCCATCTCACTTGAGAAAAAAATTCTATTTTGCTGTATAGGGATCAAGCACTGTCTACACGTAAGTACTAATGGAGAATGGAAAATAATTTTTTAAAGAGCCCTATAAATAAAAGTTTCAAACTGTTTCTGCTACTCTAGAAATTCTAAGATAAGTCACTTTTTAATCCAAATGGTGAAACTGTTTTAAAAAGGAAGGATTTTGACACTAAAGAGACCTGGGTTTGTTTTTGTTTGTTTATTTTTTTCTTTCTGAAATTTGCTTCTTCTAATGATAAGCACTCACTGTGGTGTAAGCATGGATGATATAGGATTGGCTTCTTAGTTCTTCAACTATTCACAGCATCTGTTGTTTAAGTTTGCTTCCATTCTTTTTTTTTAACCTGTAAACTCCACTTTTGAAATGCTTTTGTTCCCTTAGCTCTTGATAAATTTACACCTCTCCCCAGTTTCTCTGAAACTGCTGCCCAACCATCACAGCTTTGACCTCACCTCCCTGTTTTGCATCCAGTTTGCTCTCACTGGCCGCATTGCCTTTTTGGAATCCCAGACAACCCATCTTTCCAGCAATGGAAATTCCTAATGCTGTGCACATTTCTTTGTTTTTCACTCCTGGGCCTCCAGACATTACTTAGAAAAAAACCCATGAACCAAGAAAATTGGACATCAATCAAAATGTAAGCAATGAAACTTCAACTGAACTGTAGTATTTTTACTTGGCAACCTTTCTATGTATTTTCATTGCCTCCTATATCATTTCCTACAGCATTTACTCCAAATTTTATCCACTACTTCTACATTGGAAGACTAAACTTGTCATCTCATCCCACCTCTGAAGGATTTTGTTCAGCTGTATCTCTTGCATTAACTTATGCTTTGCTTCAGTATGTTCAGTAAAATCTTTCTTATACCAATGCTCTCTTTCCCCCCTTCCTTTTTATTCCCAGTTTATCCAAGGGGTAACCTACATTCCTTGCACTGCAATTCAACCATTCTACCAAAATTCCCTCTTCAACGTGGCCAAACCTAATTGCCAAATCCATCCAATGAATATCCTTTTCTTTCTGAATCTCTTATAGTTTGAATTCCAAGATAATGATATTCTGATGGTCTTCTTCCTCCCACCAATTTTATTGATATATAATTGATATATAATATTGTATAAATTTAAGGTATATAACATGATGTGTATGTGTTGTGAAATGATTACCATATTGTTTAATTAACATCCATCATCTCATATAGATATTATTTTTTGTGTGATAAAAACTTTAAAAGATCTACTCCCTTAGCAACTTTCAAATATATAATACAGTATCATTGACTATAATTACCAACCTATACTTTACATCCCTGTACCTATGTATCTTATAACTAGAACTTTATGCCTTTTGGAAACCTTCACCCATTTACCCCCGCACTGTACCTTCTCCCTCTGGTAACCACCAATATGTTCTCCATTTCTTATGAGTTTGATATGTATACAAGGTCTGTCCAGAAAACATCCAGCCATTGTTAATATATTGAGAACTGTTTGCTCAATATCGATGTAACTGGGCAGCCAAGGAAAGTGGACTGGAATGTGCATGCGTGAACAATGACAACTTCACTGTACTAATCTGTGGAGGTGGTAGATGCCATTGAGTGAGCATGTGTACTTTGTGGCCATTGCATTCAAAATGACTGAGGAAGTAGAGCAATGACAAAATCTGCATCAAATTTTGTGTTAAATTTGAATATTCCTCCGTGGAAACTATTTGAATGATTCAGAAGACTATAGCTATGGGCAACTGGTGATTGGCAGCTTCATCACAATAACATACCCACTCATGCATCACATCTCATGCAGAGTTTTTTGGTGAAACACCAAATCACCCAGGTGACTCAGCCCCACCCACTACAGCCCAGATTTGGTGCCTTGTAACTTCTGGCTTTTCCCAAAACTAAAATCAACTTAGAAATGGAAGAGATTTCAAGCTGCCAATGACATTCAGAAGAATATGGTGAGGTAGTTTGATGGTGATTGAGAGAACTGTGCAAGTTCTCAAAATGCCTACTTTGAAGGGGACTGAGGTGTCATTGTCCTATGTACTATGTTTCTAGTACCTTGTATTTTCTTCAGTAAATGTCTGAAATATTTCATATTACTTGGGGGGATACCTCTGAACAGACCATATCTATTTTATATATATTTATTTCAGATGTACATGAGATCACACAGTATTTATCTTTCTCTGTCTGACTTATTTCACTTAGTATAATGCCCTTAAGTTTCATCCATGTTATTGCAAGTGTCAGGATTTCCTTTTATTTTTTATGGTGAATAATATTCAACCATATATACCCCACATTTTCTTTATCCACTCAACTGTTGATGGACACTTATGTTGTTTGCCTGCCTTGGCTATTGTAAATAATGTTGCAATGGACAAGAAAGTGCAGATATCTCTTTGAGATAATGATTTCATTTTCTTCAGATAAGATACCTAGAGGTCTGTCATCTTTATTCATTTAAATCCTTCCTTTTGTCTCATAATTCTTATTTCCTTAAAGTCCTTGGTTCTTTTATCCTTTCTCTCTTCAATTCTCTCTACGCTGTCTCTCACAAACTTTACTCATCACAGGTCAAGCTCAGGCCTCTCTCGAGCTTAATTACTGCATTTCTATCTACTCAGCTTACCAACCTAGAAATCAACCTAACACATCAAAAAACAAACTCAGCATCTTTCAAAATTAAGACTTACC